TATGCAAAAGGATTTAGTTAAAGTCACAACCAAGACTAAGCTGTGACGCTGGTTTTCAATGGGCTCTAGCCGAGTGAGTGACGAACGTATGCGCCCCGAAGTGAAAATAAAATAAACTACGTAAATGCGTATGCGTATATTTGAAACTTTAAATAAATATCATGTGAACTGAATGTCTTTCCGAATAATTGGAAAGATATTTAGATACCCTTAAGCACATCACTAATACCCATTATTTTCTATTTCTTTAACACCTATTTTACGAAAAACAAAGTGAATTTGGAATCTAAGTTAGGTATATCCAAAGCTGTAGAAGTTACCGTCTGGTGTTTTAAACTTGACATTGCGTTTTAGATGCAGTCTCACGTTGAAATTCGCCTAAAACTTTCTAGGAAACATTGCATGACAATTTTATTATATAATACCATTTTTCGTGTAAATAATTCATGTCATTATTTACTCTTCGTAATATTGAACAAGTTATTGCGTGTCGCCTATCTTGTATACCTCTGTAAATGTTTCACCCCAAACTTTCTGTTTCGCGGTGAAAAGGTTACGTCGTTACGGCCGATCAAATCGCTACTTCGAGTATTGTCTAGTCCCCTATACCACGAAAATAACAAGGTAGCAAATACCCTCTGACATTGACATATTATAGTGAAAGGGTTCAGTGCAAAAATATACTTAATCCTTTTTGTAAGCTGACTTAAGGCTTCCTTCTCTGGACACCGGAGCCACATAATCGACACTCAAGGCCGTTCTATTATCGTCATCGTGCAGCTATTGTACTTTGGAACAACTTGCAATAGAGATATGTTCTGGATCTTTCGATGCCCTTATTTAATTCACTTGCCGTCGATGCGAGATTGCGGATGAATGCTTTTGAATGTGTAGCAATTTTGATGATTTGCACAAGTGGATTACTGCCCATTTGTGTAGTGTAGGCCTCGCGTCTGTCGCCAGGATGTTATTCGTTACGTCGTTTGTGAGGATGGGCACACAATCGGGGATCATCTTTATCTCGTTACTATCGGTCGCAGCATAACGGGGGCCCCGTTCGTATATTGTGTCCTTACTTGTCAATTACGTACGAAGTCGGGGCAACTCTTCTTTGTATACATTGGAGTACAAAACGTGATTAATAATAGCCTGATCAATGTTATACGAATACGCGGTATAGTATTTGATATGAATTTGGTTTTGAGATTTTATATTTACACCTTTTTTTATTACTTAATAAAGTTGTAAGTGGCGTATTTTTCGCCATGATATTGGCCGTATAAAAATTCAAATTTTACTGCAGATCCGTTCTAATGAAAGTAAATTTTATTTTAAGGCTATGAAAGTGGTAGTAGTATTTTATGAGTCATTTCTTATTCTATATCTCTTACACAAAATTGTAAAAAAACAACTGTTTTTTGCTGAGCTACCAAGTCACATTAGGAGATCGTTATCCCAGATCACCTAAGAGCGAAGTCGCCGGGCTATGCGTCGTCGCAACGCTACGATTTCTCAATTTCTCATCGTTTCAACGCACAGTGTAGCATGTCGTTCTGATTTATATGTAATACAACGCAGCGTCACAACTCAACGTCATCGCAACGCCGACGCGTCATGTGGCATCGCTCTTATGTGTAACTGCCAGCCCTCAGTACATTCGCACAAGTAAGTTATAGATAACAAAGCTAAGAAATTACTTTTGTTGCAGTAAAATGAAGCACTTCCTCCACCGCTGCGACCGCGCTATGATCTACATATTCATCGCGAGCTCATACTTTCCCTGGCTAACTGTGGGGACCCTGTCCTGCTGGATGCTTCGCGAACTACGGTGGGCTATATGGCTCCTCGCAGTTCTGGGTATTACGTACCAGCAAATCTTCCATGAGCGGTACAAGATGCTGGAGCTACTGCTATATCTGGTGATGGGACTAGGGCCTGCCGCCATCATTGTCACGTCTAATGTATGTTCTACTTTTGTTTGTTTACTTGTTTGCTTGTTCGGTGCGTGTGCACTTGATAATGAAACAATTTATTGCGCTATATATTTTTTATTTTTTTGTTTTTATATAGTTATGTTCAAAGCTACGTGTAAGTAAATTGTTTCATTATTGTTAAGTGTCTTTTTATCTATTGGGCATGTTATATCTACTTATACAGGGTTATTTGTAAAATACATACAACCGTGCTGGACTATATCATTAACATCATAAACAACAATTTTTGTTCCATGACTTAACAATTCATCAGTGCGGTAACAAAAGAAAGAACTGACGTAAATACCGGTCCGATTCAAAACGCATGTGCGTCTGGAGGTAGTCGAGGAGGACACTTGCACACTTTAACTACCTACCAAAAACAGATCTAAAAAGTGTCAGTACAAGAAAAACTTCCTTATTGATAAATTTATTGTCTTAAAAAAAAATACATGGAACAGAAGTTATTTATGATGTTAACAATATATGCATGAAATGAAATGAAATTATTTATTGGTAACAATGTTATACGTTACAAGTCATTTAACATTTGTGAAACGAACATTACATCAATTACGCTACATTAAATTTCAAGTTGGTGTTCGCCATTCAAAATTTATTCAAATAAAAAACTACATTGTACAATTATAGGTATTACACCACTTCTTTAACTTAATTTTAAAGCTGAACGGTGAAGCTGCATCTTTTATATCTTTCGGTATCATATTGTGTACTGGTGCTTCTATTACCTAGACGGACTGTTCTGACTTGGTTAATTTGGACGGAATCTTTTTAAAGTCGTTATGGTGTGTGTTGCCAAATACGCTGAAATTTTTCTAAGTTAGTATGAACATAGGTAGCTGTATTAATAGGCCGGGAAGGGTTACAAATTGGTATTTTTTTAAAGAGTCGTACGCCGATACATCATCAGGTAAAGTCTGTCCTTTTGCAGACTGAATAAAATGACATTTGTAGGGTTGCCAGTTTTCATTTCAAAATTTGAAATAGTTATGTGGTTGTAGTCGATAATTTTATCGACAGATTGTGAAAGAGGTGACTGAATTGTGAACGTTACGACGCGAATCTTAATCTTAATGATTACTAATAGCGTTATTGCCTTCTTTATTCTTATTTTGACATTTGGCCTACTAGTGTCGAGATAAATTTTTTATTGTTAGTATTTTACAAATAACCCTGTATGTGAGAGTAATCACGCTTTCGTGCCTAACTTGGAAGTAAATTGGTTTGTAGCTATACTGTAATATTTTATACAACAGCTTCCGTGTTCGACATTCGAGGCAAAATTCAATTTCGACGATGTCACAACTTTATTATTATACTTCGTCGCACTAGTCACCTGAATCGATAGGGAAGCCCTGGGGAACAATTTATAAAGTAAAGACTTACGATGTAGACGCTCTAGGTACGTGGAATAAAATATGATGTTAGCCTTCTTTATTGATAACTTTATTGCGGTTACACACTATCCATCATACTACTAGACGTAGGCTGGTTCCACCCCTATCTTGTGAATATTCCAAAGATTCGCACGAAGCGTTACTCTTCCACTTTTATGGAAGCTATGGACTGGAATTCCTTGCCTGCAGATATATTCTTAATAGTTTTTGGTGAAAATACAGGCACTTGAGACTTGTCAACTTATGTCTCTGGGTGACGGGCGCAACGGCAGTGCCCCTAAGATCTTTGCGATTTAAAGCTCTGAGTGGCACTGCAACTGTTATGAATAGGCGTGTCTTCTGGTGCGCATTTGACCTCCATTTCACCTGATGGAAACTGACGATGAGGTTGACAATGGAGCATGCACACCCAAATAGTGCCTATTCACTCTCGCCTTGAAAAGAGTCGAGTTATAACGTTCAGGGAATATATTTTTATTTTCTACTATCAAGTGATGGGACGAACAAGTCGCGCGCCTGGTGGTTTGCGACACGCCTGTCCTTAGCAGTTGCGCTGCCACACTTACCCTTCAGAACTGAAACTTTCCTGTACGCACTCTTTCACAAAGAGCTCTACTTCTACTGAAAGTTGCGACAAGTCTCCAACTTGCATTGTACCTGTGATTGTGGTGGACTATGTAGAAAGTCTATAAAAGAGCGTCATGCTCAACAGTAGACTTATTTACTTACTCAGCTGGTTCAGCGATCCAAAATGTGTCCTCCTAATCGAGATGATGCCACTTTCTTCGGTCCTGTGCAATCTCTCGCCAATTGATGGCTTGTAATTCGCGCAGGTCCGCCTCCGCGGCGTCGTTTCAGCGATACCTGGGACGACCAGCCAGTCTTCGTCCAATAGGTCGACCCAGATAGGCTCTCTTCAAGTTCCGATCCTCTCCCATCCCTTCTAAATGGCCGAGTCTGCGAAGTCTGTGCGCTTTGGTTTCGCTAATGATGTCTGGCTGGGCGACGAGCTCTTCTATTTCAGCGTTAGTGTGGACTCTCCAGCTACCGTTCTCCCGTTGTCCTGGCCCTAATATTTTCCTGAGACTTTCAACAATACACTGCCTATAATAAACTGCCTCCGTGGCCGAACGGTTACCATGCCGGACTGCCACGCAGAGGTCCCAGGTTCGATTCCCGGGCCGGAAGAAATGTTTGTATGGCCTACATTTATTTCTCTCGTGAGTTTGGGTGTAATTTGTGGTTGTCTATATGTGTGTCCATGGCACCCGCGACACAGGGTTTCCCTAGTGCGGGGCTATGTTGAGTGTGTGCGTTATTATTATTATTAGTATTATTATTACACTGGGTAAACGATATCTTTGTACACGAAATCATTCATTCGACCACAGACGACCTCTGTGGTCATGTGGCTTGACACCGGTTTTCATAGTGTCACCATGTGGTGGAGGTCCCAGGTTCGTTCCCGGGCCGGGGCAATGTAAACTAACTTTTCTTTCTCTTGGGTCTGAATGTTTATAGTACCGTCATTGTTAGCGATTTCCATAACACAAGTGCTTTAGTTACTTACTTTGGGCTCAGAGCAACGTATGTAATATCTAATATTTATTTATTAATATCTACTTTGTTCCGACATAATATGACAATTGTACGTTACACAATTGGCATAAAGTCCATTATGCCGTGGTTACAAAAAATAGCTTCATTTAAATTCCGAGGCAATGTAAATTGAGCATTATCTGTGTTTTTTTTAATAGCATAATGGACATTCTTTAAAATCCTCTTAATTTCAATGAAAGAATGACATCATGAACAAGATTGCAGATGTATAAACATTATATAGATTACTGTCTTACTGGGTGACAAGCGTGATGGTATCTATGTACGTATGAGTTCTACCAGTTATCTATTACGGTAACTAGAGCGCAGCGTACATAAATTATAAATATTACGAAAGCAAGAGTTTTAGAAACGAAGTGTAAACACGTAAACGGGGAATTACGTTCCATAGGACAAATCTATGACACCATGTTATATTAAAATTTTTATTGAATTGATATTCAATTTTTTTTATGTGAAATTACTCCACTAGTTTCATACATTCTTATACAAAAATCGAACACTCAGAAAAAATTCCTTCGATCCGGGCTAATTCGAACCTTACCTAACCTAACCGAAAGATCGAAGGAATTTTTTCTGAGTGTTCGATCTTTGTATTAAGAATTATAACAAACTAGTGGAGTAATTTCACATTTTAATACAATGAATAGAGATGTCGACATCTCTAGCCAGGATTGGTAGCTGTAAAGGTACCTAACTGGGTAACGAAATATCATAGATTTTTCATAGAATGGCGCTACGGCTAAAAAGTCGTTGAAAAACCAAATACAAAGATACGACGCAAGCACATAAAAAAATTCGTGTTGTTTGCTGTTTCGTTCCGTGGCCTAGTTGGTATAGCTTTCTGGCACGGTATGCTGGAGGACGTCGGTTCGAATCCGGCCGGATCGAATGAATTTTTTCTGAGTGTTTGATCTTTGTATTAATAATTATAACCATGTTATATTGTTAATTAAGTAATAAATTGTTACGTTAGCGCATAGGTTCCCAAACTTTTTGGCTCACCGCCCACTTAGGCAAGATAAAAAAATTTCAATGCCCACCACCACAAAAAATAATTTAAATATGTATGACATATAGCGCAAGATCACAATGCAAGAATAGCAGTATCTCGCGCTTTATGTCTCTCCCTCGCAAGTCGCTCCTTGTCGGGCTAGCCCTGCTGGACGGCATTAACGCCCCCCAATTGCTTCCGAACCCCCCTACCGCCTTCCTAAGATTCTTCAGCGCCCACTGGGGGGTGGATAACTTTGGGAAACTACGTTTGCGTTATAAATTTTGCTGAAAACTATCCTCCAGTGCACCGTCTATTGCATATAAAACTAATTAGCTAAATATCTCAACTTTACCACCCCAAGAGTCCCTTGTTATGCGACACCTAAAGTCGCCAATTAGACATAGTTAAGCAAAAAGGATCCAATCCACAAAATTACCAAAAAATAAGTTATATGTACCAAACGGTTGTCTAGTCTAGTCTAATCTCTTAGATCAGCAAAAAAATCTAACATGTAAACATAAATAAATATCTCTGAAGTTACATGACATTATAAGTTTTGAAAATAAAACAATAATGAGAAACACTTTTGTGTTTGATGTCCATTGGATCCTTTTTGTTTATATACGTCCATTGTAGTTTTATCGTTCCTTCGCGCCGTTCATGGAATAATGCTGCCCTCGTTAACATAACTAACGTAAACGACATTTTAGCGAAGTTAGAAGAGTTATTAAAATATCCGGGATCAGCAAAACGAGATCTAGAGCCCCCTCTAATCGCTTTTTTAATATCTTATTTAGTTTCAGTTGTATTGTTAAGCAAAATCAGCGTAATAACCACACTGCGACCGAAGCTAAGCTAGCTCACGTAGCCAGGGCATCTTTTCGTACTTCAGTTCACACCACAGTATTACAATATCTTCCCTACAGTAGCGCAACACCTTTGAAATTCGTGCG